ATAATTATAATCCTAGGATTTGATTGAAATTGCCTCCTAATGTGCATTTCATGATTTTGAAGTGATGATACACCTTTTATATTAATGATGACATTAATATAAAATGTGTATCAAGAAAATATTACATTTATTTCTTACAAGTAAAATTTTTAAATTTGTTATAACCAGTTTCCATTATGTAATTTAAAATTTTCATCCTAGTTATCAAAATAAATCATTACATATTAAATATACAGTGTGTCCCATCAGGACCAGATAAACTCTTCACTTAGAGTACATAAAAAATGACCCAAGAATCATACCTCTATGACCCATAATTTTTGAGAAAAATGCAAATAAAAAGTATGACATCCAGTATCACATCCAGTGCACTGTAAAATGGCTGAATGCACAGGATCTTTGTTGCTCATCTTCATGCTGTGATCATTTTTGTGAACAACACAATGATGGATTGTTTGCCATTCTACAGCATCCACATGCACACCTCAATATGCATGGTGATCATTTTGAGCATCTTCCTATGTAAGCATAATGTCATATGCGAGTACTATGTTCATGTTTCCAATAAAGCTTATTTTTTCACCAGATGTGACATCATACTTTTTCATTTGCATTTTTCTCAAAAACTATGGGTCATACAGGTATGGTTCTTGGGTCATTTTTCAAGCGAGGATTCTTGCTCTGCAGAGTTTATCTGGTCTTGATGGAACACTGTATAATGATATTGTATATATGTGTATATATATATATCAATAATATCATATTACCTGAAATAATTCTTAAAAGTTATTTTTTTTTAAATATTTGTTGCAATTGTATTGGAACTCCAAAATATAATATAAACAAGTTAATATTAACTTTTCACAACAGAAATCATTTGCAAATGTATATTAATGCCAATATTATTGTAACAACAATGTGTAACAACAAAATTCTGCCAGGTTTTATAGCATGCTTTTTATTAGTAATGATCTGATACATTTTGCAAACTAAAACTGTTAATTTTAATTAGTTGAAATTTTTAATTAGGAAAAAAATTTTTCTTAGAAATCACTGAATTATTAACATTTAAAATAAGATATTTTATTATATACTGTTATTAATTTTTAACAGTTATTTTTCCTCCTCATAAAAGTTCTACAGTTTTACTATTACAATGATTTGTTAATGAATAATACTTACTTACAAACATTACCTCTTTATAATATTAGTATAGATTAAAAATAACTGTTAATAAATCTTGTAATTAAGTTTGGATGTAGCGGGTAATCTCTAAACTACTCATCCAATTTCAAAAATTCTTTCATCAATATTTAGAATGGAACTTCAGGGTGGACATAGGCTGTATATTATTCCGTTAAACATTCATATAAATTAAAAGATATAATCTAGGTTAAGGCTTTTATATCCAACAGATGGCGCTACAAGTAAGACACCCTAAGTTTGCTTTTTTGTGAAAATGAACTAAAGCAGATCATCTTCTATCTATCTATATAAATAAAAATGTAATGTTTGTTTGTTCCTACCGATTCCTTTGAAATTTTGACACAATGCTGCATTCGAATATGCACATGTTTTTATATAATATACATGTCAAAATTCCCCCCACTAGGGGGGAGATGGACAGGATTAAGGCTTACCGTCAAGAACTCTGCTTCTATTTATACTATTTTAGATGCGGTTTTTTGCATTTTTGATTGCGTTTTAATAGGGTACGTCAACAGAATGCACACTGAGGGGATTTTTTGAAAAATCCCCCCCCATGGAGGAAGTGTTATACATTTATAATAAATACATTTTGAGCCACAATAACGCGTGACGGGGGTCTGCTAGTCAGTTATATAAATATAAATTTGTTCCTTTATAAATATCTCAAATTTTATCAACTGAAAGAAAATTTAATTGAAAATTAACTGTATTTTTACACAATTGAAATTATTAAAATGAAAAATAAAAAAAAATGATATATGGTACCATTTCAATTACAATTATTTATAATTTTTGCAGTTTGCTTCATTATTAGACTTGGTACTCAAACTGAGGATGGTAAAGGGTAATTGTGAGGGGTTTGGAAGGAAATAAGTTCTATTTTCAAATATTTCAAAAACAAATTTCATTGATACAGTACCTGTCCAAAACAGAACCTTAATAAAACAGAAACCTAAATGGGAAAAATTCTTAGGAAAGCAACAATTTTCTGTATTAAAAAAAAAAATCTCTTCAAAATGGAAACCTGCCAAATTGGAAAAAACATTCAGTACCAAACAACTCCAGTTTACACAGGTTTCACTATATTAGATTATTAGAAGTTCTCTCAAATTTATAATTTTGCCTAGCGAGACATTTTTAAAGTTGCAAAATGTTTTAAAATTTAAATATGACAATCAATACTATAATCTATATATATAAAAATGAATGTATGTCTGTGTGTCTATGTGTCTGTCTTATGTCCTTCATGCATTACCACACCATTTATCCGATTGCCATGAAACTTTGGGAAGTTGTTTAATATACTCTCGCGCAGGTTTGTGGCATAGTACGATTGCCATAAAATTTACGAAAGTTTTTTAATACACTCCCGCGAAGGTTTCTGGCATAGTACATTTAACCCACGATAGATGGCGCGCGTTTATACGAGTGTATCGAGACAGTGTGTTCGATCGATTTCAAATTGTGAAGACCATTTCCCCCTTTCAAAAATATTTCTATATATGCATTTGTAAACTGTTATTTACGATATTCGTAATAATGTTTGTTTAATCACTTTATTTCAACTTTTTTTTGCTAATTACGTATTCGCTCGAACTTCGTTAAAACCTTAACTGTATCCCGAACAACAACCGAAGTTGTAGGAGGAAATTCGCCTATTTTACCGATCTAGGAATCCCCCTTTTCCAAATTTTAATATCGACTCAAAATAATTTAAAAAGACAAATTACAATAAAACGGTTTATTATCCAACTATCAGAAATTTCACAACATGCCAAGGAAGAGAGGAAGGAGCAATTAAATAATTAAAATTATAAAGGATTAAAAAATATATATAAAAATGGGGAATATCGCACTTCTGACAATCGCTGCGAGTGTGTGGGCTAAATTTGGAGAATCCGTGCTTCTCGCATGGACAACTGTATGTGGCCGGCTCACGCGTCGAAAAACCTTCCGATTTATTCGTGTACGCACCAGACGGAAAAACAAAAAATATCGTGTATCCACAAACACTCCAATAAATAAATAGAATTGAAACGACACTTTGAAATGTTTTCCCGATGAAAATTAATAATAATAATAAGTTTCAATAAAAATAATAAAATGTAAATTGAATTTTATCATAACGAGTTTGCTTGAATTTCCTTTCTTCTGAGATCGCAGCAATGCGCGACGGGTAAGCTAGTATACTATAAGGGGTTCTGTCCAATCTATTTTGTTGCATTTTTGTGATGACTTGTTATAAATTGTTGTTACAATAAGACATTAAATAACATTAATGTCAAATGATAGTGAAAAATTAATAGAGAAAGTTTTTCTCATGCTGAACCTTTGATGCCAAAATATATTCCGATTTAATAAAAAAATGTTTTTAAAGGTAGGTAGTTAGACTGCTATCCTATACTAACATTTACTAATAATTACGATGATTTTTGAATTAAATTTAATTCAAAATAATAATTAACAAAATTGAAACTAAAAAAATTACACATCTTTTTGATTTGGTTTTTAAATGCTATAAATTACCGAAAAATTCATCCTGTACTCACTAGCCACTCTTCAATTGAAAGTGTTGTTTTTTTTTTTAATGAATTGTTCTAATTATGTAAATTACTGTGTATTCTCAATTCTAATCTGCATTTCACTTTTGAGTCAAAACACAACAAAGATAGCTTGCAAATGTAATATGTACTCCCTTATCACTGTTCACATGGCTGCAAAAAGTTAATGTTTTTAAAAATGTGTTCTTTTTCATGTTTGCAATGTTACACAATGTCCACATTTTTGAATATATTTGTTCTGAAAAACGTAAGCGATATCTTTTCTGCACGTGCATTGAAATGTAAATTAAATAGCAACATCATTGATGGTTCATGTCGTGACACTAGGGTTTCTCTAATGGGATCCCAGCTGTTCTTCTTATTCCAGGACATCCTGCAAATTTCTTAAAAGGTCACTTTTTTCTTATTTTGTGTTAAGGTTGAGAAAATTTTGCAAATAGAAAGTATAATTAACTCAAACTGTCAGAATACATTTGCATTTATTAATTTTAAGCCTGCTTATTCATTTCTTAAATTTTTGCTCATTATGGCATGTCACAGATTGTCAGTAATCAATACATAGCTTATTTGTGGCAGGATTCTGAAAATTCTTTACTTGTCAGAACCTATAATATCTTGAAAAATTGCGCTAATGCTGTCTTAATTTTTAACCATGCCCAATAGCTTCAATAACTGCATTATGCCAGGTTGTGCAAATTGGGCAAGGTTGCAAACAAGTATGAAGTTTTTCTTCATAAAACTGATTATTAAAGCCAAACGAATTGCCGAATTATTGGGCAATAAGCTGGATGCTCTTATTAAAGCAGCCGAGGTTGACAAATTAAGAATACTAGACAGCAAAAGAAGTACTGCAACACATCTTGAAAATGAACGAATTCAAGGCTACAGGTGAAAAACCACATAATATTTGTCGTCTCTTAAATGCATTAAAGACAATTCCACCCACATCAATTGAATTGGAAAGGGCATTCTCTGTAGCAGGACTTTTCATCACTACTAAAATAAGAACCAAATGGAATGATTGGAGTATTGATCATCTTTGCTTTTTAAAATATTATAAAAATTTACAATAATATTTTGTATTATGTTTTATTTAAAAAATGAAAATTACTTCTAAGTTAGAAGTTTGATATAAGTTTGCTTTTCTTTTTTTTTTTTGTAAACAGTTTCCAACAAATTTTAATAAATTTTTACTATTTATGAAAATTTCTACGCAATTCAAAGGTAATTTTTAATACATATTTTACACAGGACATATTAAATTATTTAAAAAATGAAAAATAATTATAAAATAGATCTCAAAATTGAATGATATATCTTAAAAATAATTAATTATATCCTGGAATCCCGGGAAACAGATCACTTTTTTCTCGAAATCCCAGAATGGGAAATGAGAAACCCTAAATGACACAAAGCGATCTTGCACCACTAACTTCTGAATCAGTAGTCCTCGATTGTCATTGATTAGTCAAGCTGTCGACTTTCTTTAATACAGAAAGTATAGAGAGTTGACCATTTGTGGCTGGCTCTTGCAATTAAGAGTTTGACATTCTATTCATGAACCAATTTATTTGAAAAGTGAGTCGTTTGAAAGCTGAGGTTTGACTGTACAATTGGACCAAGGACATTGTTCTATTAAAGCTGATCTTCATTGATGATGACTAATAGTATTTTATACAAGAAAATTTGCAAGTTTTACATTCAATATATTTCAATTACTGTAATCAAATAATGTTATTAATGGCTTAAATAATAATATTTTCAATTGTGTTATAAATAATATGTTGATTTATACATATTCAAATGTAAATTTGCCTTATTAATATTTTGAAATTAATTTTTCAACAATTATCCACATTTTATTTTTAAACCAAGTTTAATTAATTTATATTGTTTTTCATTGATTTAAGTTTTAAAAATAAAATAACAAGATTTAAAAAGTAGATTATAATTATATTAATTGTACTTACATGTGACAAATCAGTAGGTTGTGATAAACTCCTGGGTGGTTCAATATAACATTTATCTCCGGCTGGAGTTGGAGGCACAGTTTTAGAATGATGATCAGTTTGAGGAGGAGGTTCTTGTTTGTTTGTTACCTCATGCTCTTCCCCAACAGATTTACTGAAACATAAGAAATATGCTATTTTATTTATTTTATAATACATCAACATACATTAAAACCTCAATTAAACAGACAAAATTTCTAGCCCTTATGTTGTATGTAAAAATTAACATCTTGTTAATTTTACTTAAAATGCTTTTTTATATGAACAGCAGACAAACGTCAAGCTGTTCACACAGGCAGTTTGCGTGAGAAGAACCTGGCTATTATACGTGACAATAAAACTGACATAACTACGTGGTTAGTCACGAACACCAACAAACAAAATGGAAGTTTTGGTTAGAAATAAATACTTTTTCTTGCCATATATCTAATAATAGACAGATGTCATCATCTCTCCAGATGACTTTTTTTATTTCTCTGTTGATAGCCCGACATGTGTTTTGCAGCCATCTTGTATTTTCTCGCGTGCATGGGATTGTGGGATCTCTCTTATGACTGGATCTAGTTTCAAGAACTCTCTTGAGTTGATCATGATTGAACCTTGTTTCAGTTGAGATTGAAACGGTCAAGAGAGATCACACCATGGTATAGTTGCCAACCATGGTTACAATCTAGATCGAAATGCTCAGTGCGAATGGGGTATTAGGCTTTCCATATCTGGTCTTGAATTTCATTTATCTAACACATTTCTCGAGATTATGGAAAGACAGACAGACTGAAAACAGTGGAAATTTACAGGTGTACAATTTTTTCAATTGCAGTCCAACTAAGAGAAGAAACCCCAAGTCAAGATTCCTAAAAAAACATGGTGTGATAAGTCCAAAACTAATGGCCAAAAATATGTAGCTATATAAGAAGACATTAAGATTAATAAAGTATTTTATTAATTTCATAAATATTTTTGATTTTACTAAATATATCTTTATATAATATAATGTTAAAATACCAAAATAAGTAATGAATATAAATCATATAAAAATTTTAAAATAAATGATATTAATGAAAGTTAAATTTAAGAAACATTTTCTTATATTAAATTTCAATTTCAATAGATTCAATTATTTGTATTAAATGAGATGTTTAAAAAGTATTCACAAAAATATGAAATACAAGATGATGACTAATAAAATATGATGTGACATATATTTCTTTACATGAAAGCTTTTACTGTCATTAAGTAATTCTTACACAAAACTATATTCATGACATTGCTATAAGCAACAGATTCTTTAAAATACTTTAAAATTTCTCAAGTTTTTTTATTAAAAATAAATTAATGAAGAATTTGTTCACTCAAATTGTTTATTTATTTATTTATTCTAAATAATGAAGAGACTATTATAATATTAATTTTAATATAAACAAGAAATTTATTAATCAATCTTACCAATTGTGTATATCAAAACTGCGAAACACTGGCCTTAGAACTGCATTGTCTAATGTCAATGGTGTACTCTGTAGACTAACAGATCTTCGAAATCCTCTACCTCTAGTAGGATCTCCAGGATGAAGTGTTATAGGTCTCGACATAGAAACAGCATCCAAAGGACTTTCTGAAGACGACAGTGTGGATGAAGGAGTATTTTTGGACAAAGTAGGACACACAGGAACCCCTGGTATTGCTCCAACCTGAATAAGGTGAGTTAATAACTGCATGATAGTTTGGATGTCAGCAGTTAGTCTAGCTTCGACATTTCTCACTTGCCTAAAAATATTAAAATAATTAAGCATTAAAAATTAATAAAATTACTCTTGTTTGTTATTTGCTAATTAAATTTAAAAATCTTTACAACAATTCTATCAAAAGTTTTCTGTATAATAAAAATCTCCATGTTTCATTCAACATAAAAAATACTAGATCCAGAATCTTACATAAAACATATTTCAAGTGAGTTAATTTCAGTATATGCTAATGGAATTGATTCTTGTGAGATTAATCCCAATAACATATATTTATTATAATTTCCTGCTTATAATTTGCAAATTATGTATAGAAGAACCTTGAGTTTCGAATGCCATTCTTTTGTTCATAAACTGAATTGTTTGAAAATTTTTAACTCCATATTTGTTCTGGTACAACAAATCAGTTGTCAAACAAGCTATTTGACAAGAGCTGGTGCCACTGATTAGAGAGAGAGAGAGAGAGAGAGACATTTTTTTTCCCATTGAGTAATCCTCATTTCACCTACTAGGGAATCAGACTCTTCCTTGTCTCACTTAAGCACACAAAGAGAACATTCCTTTATTACATAAGCTCAGTAAATCAAACAAACATTAAGTCATACAACACTATATAGATACTTTACAAACAAAAGACGTTTTGCCATACAAACTTGTGACAACTACTGCAGCAAGTCCCCAACCCTTATGACAATAACTTATGCGTGAAGGTTTTGAGTTCCTGCATTAGTTCTCTGTTTTGCATTATCATGTAAAGGTCTGTGCTAGATGTTTTAAGGAGCTGTTGCTCCAATAGGTGCAGTTGCAAGAGACAAACAGTCAACTCCACTTCTTTCTAACTTCTTGTGTTAATGGGCCAACCAAACTATCAATTCAGAAGTTAGTGGTACTGAGATTATCTCGCATCATTAGATGTCATGACATGAATCATTGATGATAATATTATTCAAATTAGTTTTCAATGTGTATGCGGGTAAGATAGTATTTCCATTTTTCGATGTGTGTCATAACTGAATTTAAATCAAATTAATTAAGAAAACCTGCATTAATTGACATTTGCATAATATAAATGACATCCACAAATCTGTGTTTAAAAGTGCTTAACTCAAATTAAATAACAAAAATTTATTAATATCTACATATACAAATGAAAACATGTTTGTTTGTTCACTATACTGTTTGTTCTTAGGCCATTCGACCAATTGCTACCAAATTCAGCAGTTACATTCACATACTTCTAACTTAGATATCATACATCCCACCCAAAATATCAATTGGATTTCTATCTACATTTGATTTGCTAATTTACACATAGCACCATCTATTGGCAAAAAATTTAAAATAATAAACTAAATATAATTCTTATATATTTTTAAAAATTATATCCTTTTTTTTATATTACAGTATAAAACAACTGAACACTGGTAGTTAGTTGTGAGTTCAGGCATGGAGTTTTGTGGGTTCTCTTCATGTTAGTAAAACCTAAATAGGGACCAACTTCACATAAAAGTCTTCCCTGCGACACATCCCCTTGGCAGATCACTCTTCCTGTGTCACGTTGACTTAAGCAAATAAACCAAACTAGTTCTAACAAACATTTATTTATTGGGACATTGTCAGAATGCTGGGCTGCAATTTATCATCAGAATGTTCTCAGTTCTTTTAGTGGTGGTCTTGCCCCTATACATCACACTGCTCATGTTAACGATGGAGTCATGCGGGTTATCTATCTAACTTAGGGGGAAAATTTTGAATTGAAGTAACGTGACTTCCTGTCTAGACTGGAAGTTCTTATATAGTTAATCTGGGCCTCCTGCCCTAAGCTTTCCACATCTGGTCTTGACTTTCATCTATCTAACTCCTTTCTCGAGATTTAGAAAGGACAGATAGATAGGTGACAACAGTGAGAATTTATACATCTATAATTTTTCTCAAATTGCAGCCCAATAATTTTTCCATAAATGCAATATTTACCAGAACACACTTCCTGCACAGTTTATACAATCTGTTGACAAAATTTAAACACTATTAATCACATAAAAAGAAATTATTCTTGCATGTTTACAAGATTTTTTTTTATCTAATTGTGTCATACAAAGTCTTTTGGATGTTGAGGTTAGCAACATTGATCATGTGCGGAGCCATTACAACCTATCCAATATGGATCACTTTACTAATTAATACTGGCCAACTATTAATATTTGAAATCATTAACTACTTTTGGTCAAATTACTTCAACTTCCTTCTGTAACAGTCCCTTCTTTCTATTGAACCATTGTTATGGTGGCATTTGAATAGGAAAATTACATAATACAAGGTTACCGCAAAAGTACAAAAAAATGCCTTAAGTGGTTTTCAAGGGTGCCGAGTTTAAATATTTGGTCCATTTTTTGTGAAACTTCATTCATTGGAAGATTACCATTTGATATTTGGCTGTAAAGGGAACAATTTCTTAAAGTTAACATTTGGAAAAAATATGATAAATTTTTTAAGATTTTCAATTGGTGTTGGTGTCTACTTGACCAATGAAATTGTGCCATTTCATACCACCTGAGCATATAGATAAACATGACAATGGTAGGCTGAAATAACCAAACTATTTATGTGGTTTTTGTTTTAATGTTTGTTATATTATAGTACAGTAGACCCCCCTATAACACAGGTTCATATAATACAGATTCTTAAAACACGGCAAAAAAATTGCGATCGTGTTTGTATAAACATGCTAAAAGAGACTCTTATAATATGGTAAAACATCATCTCCAACTCGTGTCGTGACAGGATTGGTTGAATCTAGAACAATAGTGGATACTGCACAAACCGTTGAGTTTAAACGAGCAGCGGACCTACTAAAAACCATTTATTATTTAACGGCCATAAAAATTATATTTATATTAATGACGTCTCCAAAGTTCAGTGAATTTTTCGCAGAAAAATAACTTATCAGGAAACACGTGCCCGCCATTCGATGAACCACTCTGCGACGAAAACAAGCTTAAGCAATGGCGTTGAACGGTGCACACTCAGTAAGTAATCCTACAATTCTTTGTTTATAGCATAATTTATATCAGGCATGGCCAAAATATGGCCCATTGAATGAAATTATGTGGCCCACGATCAATCTTTCAATATTAACTACTTACATCCGAATAGATCGATGAAAAATTCTGATGCCTAAAAAAAAAAAAAAGATCAACAGCTCACTGAGCGTTTAGACTTAACCCTCCATTACACATCTCATAAGTACAGTGTAGAATGTTGATAAAGCATGATAATGTGAAAAATGTATCTGTAATCTCTATCTACAATTTAGTCTCTACGGGGTGACACCACAGTGAGATCTCGCATCACCTCAAAACCTTCCTAGGACAGCCTCTGGTTCGGCCCATGGAAAAAGTTCTCTTTCCAATTCGGCCCGGGGGCAAAAACTATTGGCCACCCCTGGTTTATATGGATTATTCCCAAAAAATTATATGTGTTTTGGAAATGTTGAGTCAAATTAGTCTAGAATCGATTAATTTTATGGAAGAAAACCTTTCAAACAGCTGTGTCCCTAAACTGCACATGTGCTGGGCTGTGATTGGTTCATGTATTTAAGTGACTTGTAAAACACAGAATTCATATAAAATAGAACGTATCTACCGTGTTATAGGGGGTGTCGGGGTAAAATCGTCCGACATACGATTCCTGCGCTTTTCCATGTTTTCAAACGAACGACGGTTGTCACCATGGGAGCGCCGATCTGGCGACTTTGGAAACTCGACCATGGATTGGCTGGAAGACATCGTACCACCAGCGGACATCCGATAGCGCTACTAAGCGCTGATTGATGGAATTCCATTTCCTTCAATCCGTATAAAAGGATTGAGTTTAGGCGGGAAGTTTAGTTCGCCTAGGACACATCAAGGGAACTCACGTTTGTCTAGCTTCACCTAAGCTTGCCTAGAAGGTTGTTTCGTCTCGCTGTGCGGTAACTAACGTTTGAAGGAGTTTGTCGCAAGGTGTCCTTTTCAACGGACCTGTTGTTGTGGATTAAAAGTATTTGAACTTTGTTACACCAGAAGTATTTGTAATTGTTGTTTGTGAACTTTTGTAACTGTACATACGTTTACTCGTAATATAAATGTCTTTGTGAAAATTCAGTAACGTCACATATATCGTTTTTGAATTTGACTGGGGGGGTCTACTGTATTTGATTTATACATAACTACAAAGGTTATCTTATGTAAGGGTTTATCACACCAAGGGACTGATCTAACACATTTTAAAATTTCTTTACTCCTCTACTGTATACAGTTTAAAGAATTATTTTTAAAATGTGTTAGATTGGACATATGGTGTAATAGACTCTTACATAAGATAACATTTGTAAATATAAATCAATTAACATAATATAATAAAAGGGCAAGATTATTAGATTATTTTGTATTTCTAAATCTTTGCTGCTGTTATTGTTTGCCTGAGCAATGCTGGGCTCATCCACTAGTACTGTAATATTACATATTATAATACAACTCGTTTTTTAGTGTCAGTTTCAATGTGAAAACCAAAAATAAAATCAAAATTAGTTAGTTAATTTAAATTAAAACTGAAATCAAAACAATTGAAACATAATATTTCAGAATGCGTGGAAAAAAATTGTTTGTCTTGATTGATTTGGTTATATTTCGTCTAGGCAGAGTCAAGAATCTATTTATAACACTTTTTTGTAAAGTGATGGCTTCAGTTTCAGTTGATAGTATTATGTGTATTAAAAGCAAAATGTTCCATCACTATCCATTTTTCAATATATCTTTATCCATTTTATATATTATATTGCATTTTTAGGCATTTTTATGCATGAAATGCAACTAAAAAAAAGGTAAAAAGAAGGCTTTGTTTTGTGGGTCAGGAACAGATTAACAGGATAAATTATTTGTATAATAAGATGTCTTACAATAAATCTTACTTTATTAATTCAGAGTTTCTTAAAATATAAAACTTTTAATTAGAAAAAAATAATAACTAATTAAAAATTTTAGTTTGCAAAATGGGTCAGATAATTGTTAATAAACAATATGTTCTATAAATGTGGCAGAACAACTCTTTGTTGCATGTCACTATCAAAATAACATTGACATTAACTAATATTACTTTCAAATGATAAAATAAATTAATGAAAAAGTTTTTCTTGAACCAAAACTATAGTACCAAAACATCAGCAGTGTAACCACCTATCTTTAGAAAAATTTATTTTATATTAATAATAGTTGTCCAAACTTGTCTGAATAATCTGGAAATTAATATGATAACTATAAAATATTTGGGGTTGGTATTCATGTGTATACAATGATTTGTTAACAGAAATGAAACAGAAAAAGCAATATTTTAATGCTTGAGAAAGCAATTTTAAACTGCATGCTAGTAATTATATTCCTTTCCATAGCTGCCCCAGAGGGGTGGTGTATATGGTAGGGAGGGTTATATGAAGATTTTATTTTTTTTTGTAATTTTCTGCGGGATGTATACTATCAATACAATAATAATTATGAGGCCATCAACCTCATAAACAACACCATTAGTGCCATCGACAGAGCTTGTGAGCATACTATTCCCCTGTGGAAACCAAGCATTGCAGGTGGAGTAATGAATTGGCTAGGATGCGTGCAACCAATAACAGGCTCTGCAAACAGTACCAGAGGAGCAGGGACACTGATAGGGATACATTGAAACAAAGTTATCTGAACTGTCAAGTGACTTACAAAAAGTCAATTAAAGACACAAAAATTGCTTCTTGGAAGAACTTTTGCTCCTCTGCCCATACCAATCCTTGGGGTTTTGGTTTTGTATACCATCTCTGTGCAAACAAACTAAAGCACCCAACCTGACTATCAACACTCAATTCTAGTAGTGGTCCAACCAACAACCTGAACACCACCATTAATGCTATCCTGGACTTCGTGTGCCTAGAGAACAACCACTTGGAGGATGTTGAGTTTCACAGCAACTTAAGGAACTGTGCTTATCAATCCCTTGATATGGAGGACTCTCCTCCTTTTACCCATGCTGAGGTCAACTGGACCATCAGCAAACTTTCTATACACAAAGCTCCTGACTTGGACAGCATCCTGACAGAGGTAGTGAGGAATATCTGGTCTAACCGTCCAATGACAATCATCAATCTACTCAATACCTGTCTACACTACAGTGTCTTCCCTGCCTCTTGGAAGAAGGCAAGAATTGTCCCTATTCCCAAAGATGCCAGTCAGCCCATCTGCACTCCCAACGACTTTCGCTGTATTTCTGTTGCCTACTCTCTCTGTAGTTTACGACAGTCTCCTCTGTAACAGGCTGAGCTGGCATCTCGAGACCAGCAATTTCTTCATTCCCCAACAATTTGGCTTCAGATAAGGCCAGGGCATGACAGATGCTGTTCTTGACATGACCAACAAGGTCAAATCTCTTCTTCATTCTTACCCTTACGTCTTGGGGCTTAGCCTGGACATCAGTAACACCTACAATGCCACTTGGTGGCTGCTGATTCTTCAACGGCTGCGGCAGGTGCGTTGTCCTGCAAACATCTTTCATGTCTACTCTGACTACCTTAATAACAGGTATGTCACTTTTTCTTCTGGCAACCTTGATATAACGAGAAAGGTTGTTAGAGTTTGTCCTCAAGGGTCTGTTTCTGGTCCAGTTTTCTGGAACCTTCTTTTCAATGACTTTCCTTCGGATATTTCTGACTGTGATGGGGTCTTCATGTATGCAGATAATGCGATGATCCTTCTGGCAGCCTCTTCTTGTTCCAAATTGGAGTGCAAGGCTAGGCATATTATTCTTAACATCACGGAGTGGGGCCTTAATCATAAGCTTAATTTTAATGCCAATAAAACTGAAGCTATTGTCTTTACTAATCCGGATAAACCCCATCTGTACTTTAGGCCTCCTACCATAAAAATGGAAGGGATCTCAATCAAGATTACAACCACTATCAAGTATCTTGGGGTCATCATTGACCACAAACTTAACTGGGCAGACCATATCAAATATGCTACTGATAAAACCAACCATCTTTTCAACTCCATCTCCAGGGTGGTGAAGTCTAAATGGGGGTTTTCCCCAGCTATTATTTCCATTATCTATGACAGCGTTTTCTTGTCAATGATTTGCTACGCCACCCCTGTTTGGGCTGGCTGCTTAGACTGAGTGCACATTAAACAGAAGCTCCGTAGTGCTCAGTGCAAAGCCCTTCTACACATCTGCCGTGCCTTCTCCACCTCTCCACAGCTGTCTTACAGGTCATCTCTGGCAAACTCCCTATCGACCTTGCCATTTCTTTGGCATCTAATACATGGCACCTTCGAAAAGGACATAGCGTCTGTCTGAACAACCTTTTTATCTCTATCTCCTCTCTTGAGACATATTGCCATCCTCCAGACCTTCTTCCACCTTTCAAGAGGCCCTATGTACGTACCCAGCCTTTGGAGAATGGTCACCTCTCAATCTACACCGATGGTTCAAAAATTGAGGACAAAGTAGGTAGTGCCTTTGTGGCATTACCAGGACGGAGTAGAACTCCATATTAACTCTGGCCACCTTGCCGCCAACTGTTCTGCTTATCAAGCAGAACTCACAGCTATCTGTATGGCAATCGAGTGGGCAATAGCAATTACTATAACAAGAGGATCAACATCTTCACAGACTGCTGATCAACTATTGAGGCCATTAACAACTTCCTCCCATGGAACCCAATTGTGGTTAGGATTCAGTCCTGCATCGCTACCTCCACCAATGTGTTTGCCATTTCATGGATCAGAGGGCATGCAGGACTCCACAGTAACAAAAAAGCAGACAGCCTCACCAGAGAGGCAGCCAGCCACTCCATTGGTGACATCCTATACAACAGTACTCCTGTCTCCCATATCAAAAACCTGTTTAGGACAGAGGCAATGAACAGTTGGCAAGAGAGATGGAACAACTGTCAGGTCAGAAGCATAATGAGGAGGTTTATCCCCAGGGTCTCAGCCACCTTCCCAGCCATTTATCACCATGATACAAGTCATACCACCCAGTTTCTTACCGGCTACAGAAGGTCTAACACCTACTGGCTAGGTTTAATATTTCCAACAGTGATCAATGTAATCTCTGCGGAGTCCCAGACAGGGTCTGGCATTACATCTTCCAGGGCCCAATGTTGGAGGATGTTAAGCTTCCAATCCGTCTTCTCTTACCTATGAGCAACACCTGGCCATGCCAAGAAAGTGACTTACTTCAGAACAATATGTTAAAGGCTTTCCGACACCTCATCCATAGTTACTTCCAGCGAACTCCAATTAACTAGGGTTTTGTTTTACAAGTTAACCCACCATCTTCAGTCTCTGCTTGTACAGTACATACCTATTGTAAATATTTTGTAATTAAGGCTCGTATTCCTATTCACTTTTATTGTATAATTCAACTTATGTAACAATGTACATAGTCTTCTTCATGTCTGTCTTACTTTATCACTGGTCATCAACATCAGTGTAATGTACAGTCACTCTTTTACTTTTTTTTTATACTTTATTTTATTTACCATTTTTATTATTTATTATTTATAATTGCTCAATGTTTCCTTTTATTTGTATCCCACTATACTTTGTAAACATATTTTCTGTATAACCACCCGGCTGTGCCTATGTGGTGCTGGTTGGTACTATATTTTAGTACTGATAAAGATTATTGATTGATTGATATCAATATTAATTATAAACCTGTGAAAATAATCTGTTTGGTAAAGAAATGGTTTACATTTGTTTTCTATTTATCCATTTTCCCTCTGGTTCACCTGTTTGGGATCTTCTCAATATTTTTTAATTAAAATTAATTTATGGCAAATTAATTACAGTAAAAATAGTAAAAGTAAAATGTATATATATATATACATTTTACTTTTACTATTTATTATATATATACATATATATATAATGCAGCTTCTCCATATTTTTATAATTTATGGAATGACTACATTTTTAATTCACAAATCATTCTAAATCATTTCTCAAATAATTCTTCTGTTTAATATAAAATTATTTTTTCTTTTTTAGTGTTCAACATTCATTCATTATTGAATACTAAGGAATTGATGAAGATATAGTAAGAAGAGAAATTCTTTTTTAAAAACTAATGCTTATTTAATATTAGTAACTTACAAATTTAATTGGTCCATCTTGAAAATTAAATCAGTAAATTTGTTTGAACGTCCATCTATAAAATAAAATAATATATTTACCTACTAAGATGTTCCAATTTTATTTCCAATGTTTGATTATGGGTTCCAGAGGATGGTAGAGGAAATGGGGGTTGATGAGGCGATGTTGAAACATCTCCAGCACTTTGACCAGTAGGGGAGGTGGATGATAATGGGATTGTGATACTAGAGCTGGATCTAGGAGGTGTTCTAGTTGAAGTGACCAAGCGTCCTGGTCCAGACCTTGGTCGTGGTCCTTCTTCATTATCTGGGACGGTTTGGGAAGTTGGTATGGCATGTGTTGAAACAGGAGAGGATATTTCTGATACTGAATATTGGGAAGGATAGAAATTGTAAATATATAAGATTACAATTATATATAAAGAACAATATAAAGAAAAGTTTAAATTCAGATACCCTAATGAACTGTACATAACAGTTACACCAATGACTAAAAATAGTGAAGAAAAACTTCTTAATTATATCATCTTAAATTCAGAAATATCATAAATAGGATATTTGTAAAATTATTTATCAAATAATTTTTCTATGCAAAATTTAATTACCGTATTTACTCACATATAAGATGAGGTTTTTATTAATTTATCATAGCTTCAAATTCCTAGGTTGTCCTATGCGCAAGCAAAAGATTCCTTGTGTTTTTGCAAATATAAGATGAGGTTTTTATTAATTTATCATAGCTTCAAATTCCTAGGTTGTCCTATGCGCAAGCAAAAGATTTCTTGTGTTTTTGCAAATAATTTTTGTGAACTGTGTATTTGCATTTTTTACCAGATGCTTACCCTCTTGTATTTAAAAACAATTATTTTATCTGGGTCGTTTGAATTGTTCTCGTATATTGTCAGTAAAGATGAATAGCAAGAAGAAAAGCAAAGCTTTTGAATTGAATTCCAGACTGAAATTCCAATATCACACGGGAGCACAATATAAGTTTTAATCCTTTCCCACGTGAAAACAGATGATTATCTGAAAATCAGAATTCAAAGAAACTCATAAGTGTAATCGACAGAGAGTGGATTCGACTGTTAAGAATTGGCAATAAAAGGTTTCCAATTGTCCAGCTTTACATTAAGGAAAAATCTTGTAAAATCGACAACATAATTTATTAAAAGTTTAAAATGCCAGTAATTTTTGCAGGACAATGTGTGCATTTATGTTTATTCAATATTTTACTTGTGATTAAACAAAATAATAATAGAATTGTATTAATAAATCTAATTTTCTTTATTTTGATCTTAATTAAGTCACACCTTGTCCTATATGTGAGGTCGTCTTATATGCAAGTAAATACATTATTATTTATATTTTAGTTAAATAATTTTATAATATACAACAAAAATAACTATCATATTTAATAGTTATGTTTACTGTATTTTCAGGTCTATAACTTGCTGTAACAAATAACCTGCTCCATCATATATACTGTGCCTTTGGGAGTAGCCATTACTCCACAGACATGAGTTCATAATCACAATTTAAAATTGGCATATAACACTCCCCATTGTATAATCTAAACCTCCTTTTCAAACTGACTTTTAAACACATAACTGCAGGTTATATGCAAGAAAATACAATAAATTTAAAATAAATTATAAATTATTTCATTATTTTTCACTTTTTAAAAAAATATCTATAACAACATGAAAATCATATAACTAATTTTATGTTGATTTTCAGTAAATTATCTAAATTAATAAATCATTTTTTATAAACTTTGAAGACTATTTAAATTTTAAATACTCAATATTTTTTATTTGAAAAATGCTAACATGAAATTTATTTATTAATTATAAATGATGATGAACAAATATTTAATAATTGTTCATCATTATCATAATGAATCCTGTTCTACCTTAAGTGTGTACTGTATGTGAGGTCCCAAAAACAGGTTGAAATTAAACATTTATATTAGAAATTAAAACAAAACTAGAGAGAAAAAAACCCTCCATTGTTAAAACCAATCAAAGATCAGATTCAGTTGTTTTAGTCAATGAAACTGAGACCAGAAAAAAATACTATTAATGTAAAACATGACACAATAAATTTAAACCAGCATCCTCCAGTAGAGATGGACCTTTGACAAGGCGCTCGTATACAAATAATTAGAAATAGAAAATCTTGAAGAGGGGAAAGGTTAATTATAAAAGGGGACATTGCGTCAGGTCATTAAAATTCTAAGACATCATAGACTAGATAACAATAGGGTAAAATGAGTGCAAATTCAAAGTCCCATGTACACCTTCCATCCAAAGTTAATGGATTGTGTTGGATAAATTTCCTGAAGCGAACCTTCTCAGGACACGAACGGATCTCATCTTTCACTTAGGGACAAACGTGGAACCAATCAGGATGGACAAAAAGGGGAGATTGGAGATTGATGTAATCTCCGATCGCCAAGGACACAACACACTTGGCAAGTCAACACAAAGGAGTGAAAATTGGGGCCACCTATACAACAAACAACTAAAGGAGCATTGACGCTATCGATTTCCAACCAGCTGATTGTGTTTAGAAAATATTTGTTTTTTAGTGTTTAGGGTTTTTCTAAGATACTTGTCATCTCTGCATCCTCCTCCACACCCACACACGAACATAGCTAGTTCATCCTGACAGGGGATTAACGATCCTCCCCTGAAAGTCGGCATACTTACATCTATATATATTAATTAATATGAATTTGGCCATTATAAAGAAAAAAACTAAAACAACCTAAACAAATTTAAAAATTTGCATGTTCAATGCATGAATTTCTTTAACAATCTAATTTTTACAAAACTAATGTTATTTTATAACTCATGGTCTTAATATCAATTGGTCTTAAAGTCTTACTGGACATGATTAGAAATGATAATCATACACCTTAAACTCCAGCTCATTTATTAGCTCCAAACAGTAATCTCAGATGGGCATCAAACATAACTGAAAATGTTTGTTTTTGGAATTAATAAATGTGATAGAGTGTAAGGTGTGTTATTATTACATTAGTTTGTTTTGATGATTTCAGAAGATCAAAGCAGTTCATAAAAAAAGAATATATTTGTGATTCTATCTACTGTTGGCATATAGTAGTTAGATAAAATGCAGATAACCCCTGTATAACATGGCACTTCTATAGCAAGGATTCACTCTAGCATGGTTCAAGAATTGGGTAAAACTCTCATACAACATGAAATGTAATAAATTTTCGCATACTTAAGTACTAATAGTTCATGAAAATTATTATTTTCGTGAACTATTAGTACTTAAGTATGTAAATTTTCTTTTCCCGCCCTCTGTTGATACATGTAGCCCTTCTCAAAACTTGTTTCAATGTTGCCAGATCTTGATGCTTCTGATTTTGGTGTTGTCAGATGTTTTTCCCTTATTCCATACTTGTTTTATTCTTCATAAGTGCTTAGCACCATATAAGGAAATTTATAAAGATCTTTTAACTAAAAGCAAGTAATCTAAAATAGCATTTTTTTTTGCAAAAGGTAAAGCATGGATCTGAAGATAATGCAGAAAAATGTTCAGAGGATAAGGATATCTTGCAAAAAAAAAAAAAAACACCCTCAGTTAATAGTGCTTAGTGATGACGAAGAAAACATTGTTTAATTTATATTAATATGTATCACTTAAGAAAATTGTAATAACAATATTTATCTTAATTATGAAAATATAATAGCATGTTTTTTAATTTTTGGAATGTAACCTCTTTTCGTACTAGTTCTTTGTTTCGTATAACACGGATTCGCATAACATGGCAATTTTTTGGAACATAACTCCCGTCTTATATGGGAGTTACCTGTACTGGCATATAATAGTTTCATCTAACCATATGCCAATGTTGCCTGATTTTTCATAACAGTACCTCCATGCATAGGATACAGTGTACTGTACAGTACATATAGTAGTTTTATCTGGGCCGTTATTTACATCTTAAAAATATTTATATATGGGGTAGTTATATTTTTTATGATTTTTGTAATATCTACTGTTAAAATTGTTCTATATACATTTGGTATTATTCCAAATTTTAAAAAATAATTTTTCAAATATTGTTGTTCTATGCATTCCATTTTGGAATCTTGGTGGTTAAAAACCTGATGCAGACCGTGGGTATGGTTAAAAACATTCATTTTCATTAAAATTTTTTGTGTTACTGGACTTTAAAGGTCCTCAATTGTGTATGATTTTGTTCCAGTAATTTAGTAAAAAGATCTTTTATTTTGACATACAAATGCCACTCGACATAAGATATGCCATTAGATATGAAACAATATCTTACTGTGAAAACTACAAGAGATTGGTATATTTACTCAGCAGCAACAATGGACATGACCAATATTAGAGACTTCTTCAATAAATTGGATAACAATAGTAGTGAAATTGTTTGTGTATTTGATGGAAGAGAAGTCCCTGCAAGTGGCACTGAACATAGTGAACTGGTTTGTGATAAAGGTAAATCAAAAGCCAAGTTAAAATTAGACAATGTGTTAAATTCACATTCAATTGTGGCATATATATTTTCAGTGCTAAGAATGATGCAATGAGGTTATGATGTGTACTTCAACAGTAAAACAATGCAGTGTTACATAAAACTAGATGGCAAGACACATGTTAAAGCTGAGCTTTGGGAATCATTGTTTGTGTTGAGCAACATCATACCTTACAGCTGTTGTCTATGCCCAAGAAGCATTGTGTGCATCTGTGACATGCACAGTCACCAAGATCCAGCTATAATGCAGAATATGACTACTGAAAATGTTGAAGCTGTAACAATTAGTGAGTGCAAATGCATTCTTGGATGTGAAAGTTGCATAATAAATAAAATGCAACGAAAACCATTCCCAAAAGAATCAGTGAATCAAAGTAGTACAAAGCTTGAATTGTTTCACAATGATTCATCTGGACCCATGAAGGTAAGAACTCCTAGTGGGAACAGATATTACATAACTATTATAGGTGATTATAGAGGTTATACCAAAGTTTATCTGTTGAAACATGTCTGTGGCTAGTGCAAAGATAGTTTACATATTCCTTTATGTTGAAACACAAACAGCATACAAAATGCAAAAGTTCAAATCTGACAGATGGACTGTTTGTGAATGAAGATTTGCATAAATTTTTCAAAGAACACAACAATAAAGTTCAGACACAGCACCAGATTGTCCACAGCAGAATGGCAAAGCAGAATGAAAAAATCACTTTCTCTGTGAAATGGTGAGATCAATGCTACACAATGTGGATTAGAAAAATGCTATTGGGGCAGCAAACCGTATCTGGAACAGATTACCATCAAAAGAGGATCTGACAACACCATATGAG